CCACAGACGTCAGCATGCTCCGGTTAAAGGAGAAGCCCCCGCGAAATCCTCCACACACAGAGATGAGGAGGAGCTGGGGATGGCGCCGGCCGAAACGCTGACGGTCTTCCTGAAGCTGCTGGCCGCCGGCTTCTACGGCGTGAGCTCCTTCCTCATCGTGGTGGTCAACAAGAGCGTGCTCACCAACTACAGGTGGCCGGGCTGGCGGGCGGCGGCGGCGGCGGGCGGGGACGGGGGTTCGAGCCCACCCGGGGATGCCCCTCGGCTTGCCGCGCTCCCTGGGGCGGCGGCGGGCTGGGGGCTGGGGGCTGGGGACGGGAGTAGGCGGGGGTGGGACACAGCGAGGCCCGGGTCCAAGGACCGGCGACCCGCGCGGCTGACAACCTGGGGACCAGCGTGGCTGCACGCCCACGCGCCCGCCGTCGCCACTGTCACGGGGACTCCGGGGCAGAAGTTTGTGGGGTGTGTGTGTGTGTTTCCCACCCCCAGATTCATTTAAAAGATTTAAAACCGTTGGCGAGGGATCTCCGCCTTAACTTTCTGGAAAAAAATATCAGCTGCAGGACGCCGAGGCAAAGTGTAAAATGGGACAAGATGAGACAAGTGGCCGCCCGAGGCTACAAAAATCGAAGACTTTATTTTTGGATGAGGGGCAGGCATCGGTGTGGGTTGAATCAAAATGCATTTTAAGGTTGTCAGCGTGGAAGTTGAAATCACTCTACCTTGAGGGCTTTCTGGCCGTTTTCACCCCCTTTCCTTTTCTTTACCCTTTTTTTTGTAGATTTCCGTCCTCGCTATGTGTTGGACTTGGCCAGGTTAGTTGGAAGGAATCTTGGGCATTCCGTGGTCTGTGTTTTCAGAACTTCTCTGTGTGTGTCTTTATATGCAGAACAGTGCATCTGTGTGTGTTCTCTGTTTGCAGATGGTGGCCACGGTAGCAGTTCTCTGGGTGGGAAAGGCACTCAGGGTAGTGAAGTTTCCTGACTTTGACAGAAATGTACCTCGAAAGGTAAAAAGTGAGAAAGAAGGAATACTTTATTTTTATAAAAAGGAGCCATTCTGTGGCTTAAGGAAAAAAAAATCAGCGCCTTGCGTATTTAAAACCGCAGTCTAGCCCCATCCCACTCCACCAGGGCAGACAGCAGAGCTACAGAATACAGGTAACAAACAGTGCATGCCAGAGAAGTGCCAGCATCTCTTGAGAATGAAGACAGAAAATCCTTCTGCTTTGATTAAGGAGATTCTGGTAACAGACCTGTCCACTTTAGCCATGATGCTCCTCTGTTATTATTGCTTTTTTTTTTTTCCCCAGAGGAAGGATGTTTTCATATTCTTCCCTATGCTTCTGTGAGCCTCCATGTGAGGACTAAATGCTTCCTCTCGTTCTGTGGACATGGGAGTCTCAGGCTCACATAGTATCATATTTTTCAAGCAAGTGATGTTTCTGCCTCACGTGGTTGATCATGTTTATATTTCTGTGTCCTTTCTTCCTGCCACCCCCTTCTCCCCCTTTCTGTCAGCAGTGTTGTGTATCAGAGGATAGTTAATGTTGTTTGGGTGTTTCACGGGGGTCAACACTGTTCATGAGAGCTGATCTTACGTTTCAAGTGGAAAGAATTTGACTACATAAACAGAGCTGTTTCTGTTTGAAAGGACTTTGCTGTCACGGCCTGTCTCACTGAGATTTGTTACCCTTTTCGCTTTTCCAGACCTTTCCACTACCTCTACTATATTTTGGGAACCAAATCACCGGACTGTTCAGCACAAAGAAACTGAAGTATGGATAACTTTATTTTTCTAGTGGGGTTAAAATAATGTAATCTTAAACACCCATGTCATATTACTGTGTCATGATTGATGTGTGTGTGTGTGTGGGGGGGGTGACAATAAAAACACCAGGAAGCTCCCACTGTCAAATAATGAAGATTGGACCCAAGTTTTGGTTTCAAAGTTGTTTATTTGAAGCTAAGGGATGAATTTTGTTTTGTTTGCCTTCTCACTATTATGTTAGAAGTGTTCAGATATTGTCGGGGGTGCAGTAGGTTTTCTTATTTTTGCAGAACTGCCGTGGTGAAAGATTTATGCCAGGCTTATAGGATTTTATTATTTATATATATATTCCAGGTAGGGTCTTACTTTGTAGCCATGGATGATCTGGAACACACCATGTAACCCAGACTGGCCTTGAACTTGTGGTATTCCTCTTGCCTCAGCCTCCAGAATGTTGCCCTCGTGTGTGGTTTAGGATTTTACTTCTGTAATACAGTTCATAAACACTGTGTTTTAGGTGTGTTCCACACAGCAAGTCAGATGATGGACATAAGAATTTCCACAGGTTTGCTTTTAACACAAAGCGGCTAAAGTCTGATGGAATCTTGACATAAGCATGATTACTACGTCAACCCTGACTGTGTAACTGGAGAGCCATTCACTTTTAGAAAGGAGCAGTAGTTGTACTCCATGGCAATGCTACCCAGTACCCACTTACCTCCTAGTTCTTGGCTTCTGACTTTGCGGTGGTGTGTGTGTGTGTGTGTGTGTGTGTGTGTGTGTGTGTGTGTGTGTGTTAAATACACAGTGGGAAACAGTTTAGCAGAAACCTACATGAGCCAGATGAAGCCCTGACATAGTAAATGATTGTGAACAGTATGGAGGGGGGCTGGAGAGATGGCTCTGTGGTTCAGAACACTGGCTGCTCTTTCAGAGGACCTGGCTTCAGTTCCCAGCATTCACACCAGGCAGCCCACTTGAGATCTGACACTCACTTCTGGCCTCTTCAGACACCATGGGCATGAGCATACCCACACATATGTATGTAAAATTAGAAATAAAATCTTAACACAAAAACAGAATGGAGATCTATGAGGATCAGAGGCAAAGAAGTTTTTGTATTCTCCTTTCTGATTCTTTTTAAACCAAGAACCCTGAGAGAATGACCAGAATAACTCGGGGGAGAGTTCCTAGGAAGTCAGATTTGTCACGGAAAGGGAATCTTTTCCATCTCATTACCCACTTGGAAAGAAATACAGCAAAGTGCTGCTTATATAAAATTTGCTTTTTTTTAAACAATCCATTGTCATCTATGCATTCACACTCTGCCTTTGATTGGCAGACAAGAAGGAAGCATTTTAGAGTGAAATATATTCAGAAATTCTTACATTGTAAGAGGCTGGATGTTTGATTAATGCAAGCAAACTGCTCTAAGAATTTAGAGGAATGTCCATAAAAACAAGTGTTTCATGGGTAAGATTTTCATAGACCTTTTCTTAGTGGTCTAGAGAGTAAGAAGGGAAGTTAGGCCAGTGAGGAAGAAAGAAATAAGAAGAAAGAAAGAAATATTAAAGACTAATGTGGCTGGAGTCAGACTATTTGCATAATTTTCAGAGTGAAACTTAAAAGCATATATTATTAGCCTGTGATAATAGATGCATGGTTTTACCATTTTGTAGTTAATGTTTTAAAGGCTTTTAAATAAAAAATATTTCTCCAGGCAAATGAGGTTAATCAGCATGGAACTTGCATACAGTCGGAAAGAGATTAGCATTGTTTAAAACTACCGATTTGTAGAATTGTGGTTTGCAATTACACACTTTGAAGCTTTTTTTCACCTGCTTGCTTTTCTTTTCCAGCTTGCCCATGTTTACAGTTCTGAGACGGTTCTCCATTCTGTTTACAATGTTTGCTGAAGGAGCTCTACTCAAGTGAGCTTTATTTGTAATATATTGTCCTTGTTTATAAGACTGTCATTGTTATTTATGTGCATGTGTTTATGTGGATATTTGCCTGTGTGTGGTTGTTTGAGACTAGGTGAAAGTGTTGCGTTCAGTTGCTGAAGTTGTAGGCAGTTGTGAGCAGCCTAATGTGGGTGCTAAGAATTTTAACTCGAGCCATCTCTCCAGCCCCATATGTTTATTCTTTAAATACTTTTAAACACCTTGAAAAGATGTCCAGGATATGTTAAATATTAAATTATCTGTCTCGCTTCTACTTTAAGTTTTGAAAGCTTAAACAGGCTGATTACCTTGCTACCAGAATTAATGTAGTTGGGAAGGTTACAGACCTCAGTTAGAAAACTGCCCGAACATGGGATATGCCATCTAGAATTCTTTTGTCTGTTGCTACCATTGGGCAAAGCCAGGTCAGAATCTTAGGTATAGATTTTAAATAGTGTTCATGTCTTGGCTACTCTTACTGCAAATATGTGTGACCTTTTTCTACTTAAAAGAAACTTTGACATGAAAATTCCAGCTCAGTGATAATAAACAAATGGTATGAATAAGAGAGAACTGGGTATAGTTATTTCTGTAACAAAAGGAGTTTTTACCCCATCTTTTAAATACCTAGTTTCTTGGAAATATTCAGAATGTGATTGTATTTGGGTTTTTTGAGGAGAACATTCCCTTTGTTTTGTCATTGATGTAAAATGAGTCTACATGGATAAAGTCACATGTGTGTATATTTTAAATTATTTTGTAGGAAGACTTTCTCCTGGGGTATTAAGATGACTGTGTTTGCAATGATTATCGGAGCATTTGTAGCTGCCAGGTAAGATGTGGGCCTATAGAGCTTGTTATTAATATCAATAGTTATTAATTTAAATCTTAAGCATCTGAAAATTACTCAAAAGACTTCCAGTGTTAAGTCTTCTGGGCTATATTAGATCAAAGCTAGAGAAATGGAGATTTGGAGGATTCCTAAAGTCAATTTATGTAATTTAGGATTTGATGTTGTCTTCCACTTGCTGAGCACATACCACATCCCATGCCACACAGTATATTGGGCACGGACACATTTATGTATTCTTTTCAATTCTGAGGGATATGGTGTTTCTGTTTTATAGTAGAAGGAACTCTTCTGTAACTCTCAAGGGCTAAACCAAGTCTGTGATTTTATACCATGTGAATCCTTTCACTTTGTATGCTGTTAAAGAAAGTAATATCTGCCCTTCTGTGAGACGAGGCAAAGAGCAATGAATCTTTTTCCCTTGTAGAAAAGGAATAGAAGCATTGCCTCGTTTGGCCTTGCTGAGGACGGATCACAAATGTCTATTACATTGCTGAAGCTTTTCCAATTTTTTTAAAGGTTTAGTTTTAAAATATCTAGAGGGAGGCGCAAGGTAATGATGCACTTTTAAGATGAGAAAAACATGAATTACCCTCCTTTGAAGAAGACATATCGTATACATTTGCAGGCAGGCAGGAGGGAAGAAGGTAGGCAGGCATGGGGAAAATACATACATACCCAGAGACTGAAAATTGGAAGGGTGTCTCAGAGCCTTCTAGACATGGTCCCCAGCTCGGGGTGTGTAGGTAGATCTGCCTGTGCTACAAACTTGTTTCCCTTTGGGAGCCCATTGTGCGTCTTCGGCTCGTTAGATATGCTTTCATCATATGCCTGTGGCGTAAGTGTATGCGGTGGGGGTGTCGACATCTAATTCGATCTTACATTAAATCTCCAAGCGGAGTCCCACTCTTTTTAGAAACATATTGTTTTATTACATTTATTTATTTTGGGTGTGTGTACAGGTGCCACAGGGTGCATGTAGGGAGGTCAGAGGACAACTTGTGGCAGTCTGTTCTTTCCTTCCACTGTGTGGGTCCCGGGAATAGGACTCAGATTATCAGAGTTGGTGGCAAGTGCCTATACCAGGTGAGCCATCTTGCTGGCCCCTGAAATTCCATTCTTGGGGAAAAACAAAGAGGGCAGTGTCACGGTTCCTGGAGTTTGGAGCTGAGTCCTTTTCCCTCTGACTGCCTTGCCTCGTTTTAGCAATAACGGGTTCAGTAACTCCACATACCTTTCTTAGAGGTGCCACACTGAACTCGGTGTATTCTAAAGTATTTCCTTGGTGTCAGTGAGCTAAAATCGTGCTGAGCAGCAGGGCCTCTTTGCATCTCGCTTTGACCTGGTGCTGCAGTGAGCTCGAGGATTTCCTTTCCTAGTTCAGCCACGAGGATGTAGTGTCTTTACAGAGCCAGAGAACTTGAGGGTGTCAGAACACACTGCAGGTAGGTAGACTCGGTCAGATTTTCATTCATGGCTTACATTTACTGAGTTCTTGTGAGAATCACTCTCCTAAAGTGCAGGAACTTGGTTCTCTTGATCTCACTAGTTACACCTTGTCACTTCATTGAGCAGTTATTTAAGCACTTAAGTTCTCAGGACTTGCTTATATACTTTTGTGGTTTGATATCAGAATTATCATCCATATCTCAGAAATTCTACCCAGTGACAAGTTAGTCCTATCTTGGATATGAATCTTTGAAAAAAAAAAAAAAAAAAAAAAAAACGCTTGTTCACAGCTCCATCCTTTGACTTCCTGTCTTTGAAACCAACGCCTTCTGCTTTTATAGATTGGGTGATGATGCTTGCTTGCTTGTTGTCTGACTTTGACTTTAGAGCAGTATACAATGAACCAAAATGTTTATTACGTGTGTTTGGGGGGTGGGAGAGAGAGAGGAGAGAGAGAGAAATTTGTTTGTTCTGAGGTAGGGTCTTAACTGTGTAGTCCAGGTTGTCCTGGAGCTCAAACCATAGCCCACACTGACCTTAGCTCGTGACCCTTCTGCTACAGCCTCCTAAGTGCTGGTATGACAGATGTGTGCCATGATGGCTGGCTGGCTGTATGATTGACTCTTTGTGGTGACATGTGTAAGCAAGGATGTTTCTCATAAAATTGCCAAATGTGGCCAGGCCTTAGGAAGTGCTGGTAGCTGGTAAAATGCGTAAGGCTGCCTGGACGTGGACATGTTGCTGCAAGTACTTTAGGCCAGACCTGTTTAAAATCAATTGCATATTTTTAAAGGTGATCTTAAAGTGTTGCTTATGTTCTACAGCTCTGACTTGGCATTTGATCTGGAAGGATATGTTTTTATTTTGATCAATGATGTTCTGACAGCAGCAAATGGTGCATATGTGAAGCAGAAGTTAGATTCAAAAGTAAGTAGAACTCTACAGCTTCTCCATCGGATGCTCATTGATGGTGGGAAAGTGTGGGATAAAGAAACATACTTCGGAGGGTTGGGGAAGGACATAGGAGCTCTCTGAAGGTAGTGTGTATATGTGTTCATGCTAATGTAATAAATTTATGTTTGCCAGGCACTGTGGCTCAGGCCTGTAATCTCTGAGGGAGGTGGATAGCCCCATGTTCAAAGCCTGCCTAGGCTGCATAATAGGCCAACTACAAAGTAAAACACTAGCTCGGGAAAAAAAAAAAAAAGAAAAAGAAAAGAAAAGGAAAAAGATGTTGAAATCTCTTTAAATTAAATTGGGTTGTAATGCTGGCTTTTCTAGAAGAAAATTGTGTGTGAATACTGACTTAGAATGAGGTGGGTGAAATAAGAAATGTCCACAGAGAAAAGTGTCTTCATGATTGTGGTTGTGTTCTAGAAGACTGGGTAAGGGACCTAAAAGAAATACAGGGAAGTTGGGGCAGTTGTGAGGGAAGTGAGTCCTGGAAAAGACTGTGGAACTTGGATGTCTTTGAATGCCGGGGAGCCCTGGGCTTGCTCTCAGAGAGCACTGCATCCCTGGGTCAGACCTCAAGTGTGTACTCAGCTTTTTGTCTTCCACTGGCCGTGTGCGCACACGGGGGCTTTCCACACTAATGTCTGCTTGGCCCCTGTCTGCTTTACACATTGACACGTTCAGTATTTGAGTCCTTTTTCGTTTGCTGCATTGTGAGGTTAAGTTACTGGAACAAAACAGCTGTCTGGAGTTCAGCTTTCTCTGTCGTAGAGCTCTTAGTGAAGGGGGCTTGTCCTTAATTTCGTAATGAGCCTTGTGAGGACTCGCATCGATATTCATCTCAGATGTCACCCTCTTTTTTCCTGAGCAGCTGATACATGTTTATCTCATAACTGAAGCTTGTAACTGATGTGTGTTCCTGCTCATGTTTTATCTCAGTAAGATGGCTTCATCCACTTGCTTCCTTGTCTGTATAGTATTTCTGAAAATTACTTCCAGTTCTTTCTGGAGCTCAGATGACAAGCAAAAGCAAATGTCCCACTCAGTAATGGTGATCCTGGTGGATTCCTGGTTGTTTTAGTTTTGAGGTGGTTTCCTATTGGCCAGGATTTTGCCTTTCCCCCAGAAAAGAAGAGTGTAGATTATGAGATTATGTGGCTGTCCCTGCAGGTTTCCTCAGAGCTTTTTTTTTTTTTTTTCTTTCTTCCACTGAAGACACTACAGATTTATGGCTAACACTTTCTGTAAAATGCCTACTTTTCCTCCTCCGCTTACCTACTTTGATGTCTGTGTGTCTGTGTGATTACATTTTAGTTGGAGTTACTAGCAACCATTTTTCATACTTTTTAAAACAGAGGAAGGAGAATAGCAATTTGGCCTCACCCCGATTTTACCGTTAGCTCCTTTGCTGTTTTAAAAGTAGATACTAAGGCGGGACTGCCGTGAGCCGGTGGCTTCAGCTCTCTGAAGCCGTGCTGCCCAGCAGTCCTCTGTGATGATGGAAATCGTCTCTGCTCTCATTAGAGACGTGACTTCTGGGAATGGGAAAAGTGATTGGTAGAGGTGAGAAACTAAATTAATGGTTTTGTGTAATAATTGTAATTGAATTAGCTTCATATGACTAATGACTACTGTTTTGGACAACACAGTCTAGAATACATTCCAGAACATAGGACAAAATAAAGGTTTCAGAGTATTTTTGTCTTAGAAGAGAGCTCTTCAGTTCCACACTTAGAAATGGCTTTAGACTTATATTAAAACTCTAAAGCTTCTGGGTAGTGGTGGCATGCACCTTTAATCTCAGCTCTCAGGAGGCAGAGGCAGGTGGATCTCTATGAGTTCAAGGCCAGCTTGGTCTACAAAGTGAGTTCCAGGATAGCCAGGGCTACACAGAGAAACCCTGTCTTGAAAAACCAAAAACAAACAAATAAACCTCTATGGATCTAGGGTATAGCTAAGTTGATCTCTTTGGAGATGGGTTTTTTAATTACTTAATTAATTTTGAGACATGGTCTCACTATGCAACCCTGGTTGGTCTAGAACTTGCTATATAGTCTGGCTTTGAACTCTCAGAGGTCTGTGTGTCTTGGCCTCTTACATGCTGGAATTAAAGGCATGCACTATCATTCCTAATGTAGCTTAGTATTGCTTGCCTAATATGCATGAAACCCTTCATTTAATTCCTATACCATATGAGCCTGAGTCTCAGAACTCTAGAATTGGAGACAAAAGGGTCAAGTGTTCAGCCTTGTCCTTAGCTATATAGTGAGTTTGAAGCCTGAAGTGTTTATCTAATTATTCCTTATCAATAAAAACTTGGGAGTCAGATATCGGAGAAAGAACCTGAATGATAAGAGAAGTGATAAGAAGTGACCAGTGGCCTCCTCTCTCTTTCCTTCCTCCATCCAAATAGGCCAGGAGTCTTTCTAAGCCCCACCCTATTACTTCCTGTATCTCTCTATATGTCCTCAGTCCTCCAAAACCTCTATGGCTAATTTTAGTCAGCTAAAAGCTAGCTTTGCCCTCTGATTCAAACTAAACTTTTTTGGTAGTCTTGAGAGTGTCAGAATGCAATCAAAATATCCCACAACAGAAATCAGCCTGAGATATATGAGACTCTGTCTCAAAAAAACAAAACAAAACAAAACAATACCTTTGGAATCTGGGTGTGTTAGCAGCATTGTAACCTGAGCACTCAGGAGGCTGAACCAAGACACTTGTGAGTTCAAGGCCAGCCTGTACTGTGTAGTGACAGCTGATACACTTGCAGTGTCCTAAGGGAGAATGACATTTAAAATCATTAGAATGCGAAGGGAGCGATGAAGAGTGTGGGCATTTGTGTTTTGTCACTTGTCAGTTACGTGGTTGGTGTATCTGTGTTTGTGCATCCTGCACATCCTCTGTTCCAGGCTAGTTCACGTTCTGGGTCCTGGGCACCTGTTGTCTAAGGTTGTGTGGTCTCTCACTGTTGATCTTTTCCAGGTACTACACAAGGAGGCACAGCTTTCTGATGATACTTGCAGTTACAACTTATCCACTATTTGGTTTAACCTAGGGCCAGTATGATCACACTGGTTTTTTTTTTTTTTTTGGTTTTTCGAGACAGGGTTTCTCTGCGTAGCTTTGCGCCTTTCCTGGAGCTCACTTGGTAGCCCAGGCTGGCCTCGAACTCACAGAGATCCACCTGGCTCTGCCTCCCAAGTGCTGGGATTAAAGGCGTGAGCCACCACCGCCCGGCACACTGGTTTTAGTAAATCACAATTGTAACTTCAGGCCTGCTTATAACCATGGGCCAGTCAACTTGAGTCCTAGGACAGAAAGACCTGGGCCTGCATTTCAGACTTGAATGTGATTTATTTAAATTAAGACACTTTTTAACTTTAAAAACCATCTAGCATAATATGCATATGTAATTGTGCTAATAATCTATGTATATTTAAATATACTTATCTGCTAGAACCAGCTGAAATAACTAATTGTTTACTACCTAGGAGCTGGGAAAGTATGGTCTGCTCTATTACAATGCACTGTTCATGATTCTTCCTACCCTGGCCATTGCATATTTCACAGGAGATGCACAAAAGGTAGGACTTCGTAATTATGGGTTATTTATTTACTGTTTATGATCAAAAGTTAGACTTTTGGGTTGTTGGAAAGAGATGTGCTTATTAAGTGACCACAAACTGCGAATTTACTCTTTAGATTCTTAGACTGCTGATGTCATGCTAACCTGCCTTCTTGGCATAAACATTTTAAATATTAAAATGGCTCAGAATAGGTCTCTGTGCCAGGACAGAGAAAAGTTTATCTTAAAAACACTGTTGATTGATTGATTTTGTACATGTATACTGTGTTGTGATCGTATACACCTTCCCCTTATCCTCAATTATCCCCTCCCACTCCTGCCTAACCCCTTCTTTCAAACAAGATCCCCTCCTGC